CACACTGAACTCGATGCATCAAATAAACCTGTTTCTCTCACTTTCGTGGTCTCAAGTCGTGGTCTTTCGTAAGTGGATTACAAACCTCAATCTGCTGCAACACTACAATTGAAAAACAATATGTAGATTTGTAGAAAGATTATGGGAGCGATAGAAGAGAATATTTGCAGCTCAGGATTGAACTGGTGGTGTTCTCTGAGCTTGGTGTTTTCTTGCAGACATTTCATTACCTAATTATGTAGACAACATCATAAATGCAGAATAACAGTTGAAAGGGACCTTGGAGGTCTTCTAGTCCAGCCCCATGCTCAAGCAGGAAATCTTATACCATTTCAGACAAATGGTTGTCCGATCTCTGCGTAAAAGACTCCAGTGTTGGAGCAACCATAACTTCTGGAGGCATATTGTTCCACTGATTAATTGTTCTAACTGTCAGGTAACTTCTCATTAGTTCTAGGTTGGTTCTCTCCTTGATTAATTTCCTTCCATTGCTTCTTATTTTGCCCTCAGGTGCTTTGGAAAATTGCCCCCCTATTCTTTGTGGCTGCCCCTCAGATATTGGAGCACTGCTATCAGGACACTGAAAAATGAAATGAAATTTCCTTGATTTTAATGAAATTGGTAATGAATTGTCTGCAAGAAATCCATCAAACTCAAAGAGCACCAAGGACTCCACATGGTTATGGGAGCTACAACATCCATAATCCCCAGTCATCTAAACCACTAGCCACACTGGCTGGTGTTTGGAAAGTACAGCCCATTATACCTTGAGACACCCACTTTGAGAAGGTTCTTCTAGAATTCCTTGCCCCTTAAAAAGAGAGGCTGGCCTCCTCCCAAATATGCCCCATATTTAGGAAAATTATGAGATTTTGGGCACTGAATCTTGGAGTGGAAGGTTTGAATTGAAAGCTCCCTGGTGTCAAGCAAATAAGTGCATCATAGAGACCTGTTTTGGATGGGATTATTTTCCATGAAACAAATGGCACCAGTTACACAATGCAATGCAATGCAATGCAATGCAATGCAATGCAATGCAATGCAATGGAATGCAATACAATACAATACAATACAATACAATACAATACAATACAATACAATACAATACAAGAGTTGGAAGGGTCCTTGGAGGTCCAACGCCCTGCCTAGGCAGGAAACCCTATACCATTTCAGACAAATGGCTATCCAACATCTTCTTAAAGATTTCCAGTGTTGGGGCATTCACAACTCCTGGACGCAATTTCTGTTTCACTGATTAATTGTTCTAACTGTCAAGAAATTTCTCCTCAGTTCTAAGTTGCTTCTCTCCCTGATTAGTTTCCACCCATTCTTTCTTATTCTACCCTCAGGTGTCTTAGAGAATAGCTTGACTCCCTCTTCTAACCCCTGAGATATTGGAACACTGCTATCCTGTCTCCCCTAGTCCTTCTTTCTCTTAAACTAGACATACCCAATTCCTGCAACCGTTCTTCATATGTTTTAGCCTCCAGTCCCCTAATCATCTTTGTTGCTGTTCTCTGCACTCTTTGTAAAGTCTCCACATCTTTTCTAGTTAGGAGAAAGTGATATCTGTATACAAGTAGTTCTCAACATAGGACAGCAAGGCAGTTGTTCAGTTCAGCTCAGTTTATTACATTTATATGCCACCCTTTTCCCCCCGAAGGGGACTCAGGGCGGCTCACAACTCAACCAGGGAAGGGGAATACAGACAAAAAAATTTAAAAACAAAGCATAACAATGCATAATTTAAAAACATACAACAGTCATACCATTCGAGACGGGGGCAACAGCTCTTTAACCCCAGGCCTGTCGGAACAGCCAGGTTTTAAGGGCCTTGCGGAAGGCCTGGAGGGTGGTGAGGGTTCGAATCTCCACGGGGAGTTCATTCCAAAGGGTCGGAGCAACCACAGAGAAGGCTCTCCTCCGAGTAGTCGCCAGTTGACACTGGCCGGCAGATGGAATTCGGAGGAGGCCTAATCTGTGGGATCTGATCGGTCTAGTGGAGGTAATTGGCAGCAGGCGGTCTCTCAAGTTGTCCCATTTTATGACCCCTTTTTTGCCACATTTGTTAAATGAATGACTGCAGTTGTTAAGTAAATCATGCAGTCACTAAGCCAATCTGGCTTTCCCTATTGACTTTGCTTGTCAGAAGCCAGCTGATGGGATCAGGGGATCACATGACTCCAGGACAGTGCAACTGACATAAATACAGGTCCTTGACTTACAACTGTTCATTAAGTGACCGTTCCAATTACAATGGCACTGAAAAAAGTGACTGATGACCATTTTCACACTTACGACCATGGCAGCATCTCCACCATTACGTGATTTAAATTTGGATGTTTGACAACTCACATTTATGATGGTTGCAGTGTTGTGGAGTCATGTGATCCCCTTTTGCGACCTTCTGACAAGAAAAGTCAATGGGGAAAGAGATTCACTTAACAACCATGTTGCTAATTTAGCAACTGCAATGATTCCCTTAACAAATGTGTTAAGGGAAATCATAAAATGGGGCAAAATTCACTTAACAAATTTCTCAGTTTGCAAGATAAATTTTGGGTTCAATTGTGGTCGTGAGGGGAAGACAACCTGTACATGCCTGTTGCCCAGTGTCCGAATTTTGATCATGTGACCATGGGGATGCTGCAATGATCATTAAGTGTGAAAAACGGTCGTAATTCATTTTTTTTCAGTACCTTTGTAACTTTACATGGTCACTAAACAAACGGTTACAACTCAAGGGCCGCCTGTAGACATTGCAGAGTGGTTCTATCACAGAGTCATAGGATTGAACGAAACCTCAGAGGTCATCTAGTCCAACGCCCTGCCAAAGTCAAGAGTCCTTGTACCATCATTCCCAGACAAATGTGTTCTTGAAAATCTCCGGTGTTGGGGAATTCTGGAGGCAAGTCATTCCCCTGATTAAGTAACGAATTGATCAGTTATGTTCAGTGCCTTTGTAACTTCAAATATTGCAAGTTGAGAACTACCTGTACTCTTTATTTTTTTCCTACCCTCTGCAGGTGTTGGGGTTGGAAGTCATCTTGAGATGGAAGATCTCAAGGAGGAAGCAGCAGAAGGATGGCTAGAGAAGCAGGACCCAGAAGCCGCTCTGAGCCCGGAGCAGAGTGCATTAATGCTGGAGAGCATAGAGAGAGAAGGAAGACCAAGTGGTGTCATTAGTGCAAGTGGGAATGAGCAGGGAGAGCTTGATGTCCCCGATAGCTATTCAGGAGCTGACGATTGCCAAAACCAAGTCAAGGCAGAAGACCAGAGGTGGAGAAGCCAGGTGAGAAGACGCCGGACAAAAGAGGTTTCCCAGGATCCTCCAGGTTTCATCAATCTCCTGGGGATCCTGGAACCGCCACCTCCTCTTCCGCCCTCTGCACCCCAGAAGGTGGTGAACAAGCCCTTCCATTGCACAGAGTGCGGGAAATGTTTCTCGCAGAGCTCCGTGCTCATCGAGCACCAGAGAATCCACACAGGGGAGAGGCCCTTTGTGTGCAACGTGTGCGGAAAACGATTCTCCCAAAGCTCCACCCTGATGGGCCACCAGAGGATCCACACGGGCGAGAAGCCCTTCGCCTGCCCTGAATGCGGACGGGGCTTCAGCCGCAGCTCCGCTCTGACCGAGCACCAGCGCACCCACACGGGGGAGACCCCTTTCCCCTGCCGGGAGTGCGGAAAGGCCTTCAGCCGCACCTCCAACCTGGTGAAGCACTTGCGCACCCACTCGGGCGAGAAACCGTACAGCTGTGCCCTCTGCGGGAAGCGCTTCTCGCTCAGCTCCAACCTGCTGAAGCACGAGCGCACCCACTCGGGGGAGAAGCCCTTCCCCTGCCCCCTGTGCGGGAAGCGCTTCAAGAAGAAGACCCACCTCGTCTCGCACAACCGTGTCCACACCGGAGAACGGCCCTACCGGTGCGAGGAGTGCGGGAAGTGCTTCTCCCAAAGCTCGTCTCTGATCGAGCACCAGAGGATCCACACCGGGGAAAAACCCTACAAGTGTCCCCAGTGTGGCCGAGGCTTCTACGTCAACTCCAAACTGGTCAAACACCAGAGAATCCACACGGGGGAGAAGCCCTACGCCTGCTCAGCCTGTGGGAAAACGTTCCGATACAAGCAGCAGTTTCCCCGTCACCTGGCCCACGTCCATCCAGGGGAAGAGCAGGTTTCTGTCCTTAACTTGGGGACCAGTGTTAATGTGCTACTCTCCTAGGGTGTAATCCCAGTGCCCAGTGGCTGGCCTTTAAGTCCCACAGGGCTAGTCCCAGTCAGAGGCAAAATAATTGCCAAATATGGCTGATACCTAGATTAGCATCTTCCATTGAAATATTCAAGCAGTTTCTGAGGTGCTCCAACTTACAGAGATAGTCCTTGATTTAAAACCACGATTGAGCCCCAAACCTCCATTGCTACTCTGTTTCCCCGAAAATAAGACAGGGCCTTATTTTCTTTTGACCCACGAAATAAGCGCTTGGCCTTATTTTCTTGGAAGTCTTATTATTTCTGAGGTGCAGGAGATGGCGAGCGTGGTCACCTCATGACTGCTCCTGTGTTGCAATATTTTCAGGAGGGATTTTTTTGGGTGGGGGGCTTATTTTAGCAGATGCTCTTAAAAGCCCGATTGGGCTTATTATCTGGTGAGGCCTTATTTTCAGGGAAACAGGGTAAGCAAGTTGTTAAATGAATTTTGCCCCATTTAACCCTAACCCTAACCCATCCTTCTTGCCACAGTTATTAAGGGAATCAATGCAGTCGTGTTAAGTTAGTAACACGATTGTTAACTGACTCTGGCTTCCCAAATTGATTTTGCATAAGGTTTCAAAAAGGGATCACGTGATCACAAGGCAACTGTCCTAAATACATGCCAAACTTCCGAATTTGTATCACCTGACCATGGGAATGCTACAGTGGTCACAATTGTGAAAAAGTGTGACAAGTCACTTTTTCCTTATCGTCATAACTTCAAACAGTCAGTAAGCACATGGTTGTAAGTCGAGACTACCCATATTTCTATTTCTACCCTTAGTGAATGTCACAGTTGGGTGGTCTACTTCACGATGCCACCTTTACCCTCATTTAAAGAAGCGACTTCCCCAAATTATAGTTTTCTTTTTTTTTTTAAGTTGTTTATGCTGCATAGGTTGTCTTCAACGTATTATCACAATTGAACCCAAATATTCTGTGGTTCTGATACATTTGTTAAGCGAGTTTTCTTCCATTTTACAGCATTTTTTTTTTGCCACAGTTGTTAAGTGGAACACTGCAGTTAGGAAATTTGTTATTAAGTGAATCTGGCTTTCCCGTTGACTTTGCTTGTCAGAAGGGTGCAAAAGGATATCACGTGACCCTGGGGCACTGCAACCCTCATCAATATCATGAGTCAGTTGCCAAACATCTCATTTTTGATTAACAAGAGCACTTAGACTTATACACCACTTCACAGTGCTTTACAGCCCTCTCTTAAGCAGTTTACAGAGTCAGCATATTTGTGCCCAACAATCTGGGTCCTCATTTGACCCACCTCGGAAGGCTGGAAGGCTGAGTCACAACCTTGAGCCTGGTGGGATTTGAACTGCTGAACTGCAGCTAGCAGTCAGCTGAGGTAGTTGGTTTGTCCCGGTTCGGCTGAACCGGCAGGGACGATTGCAATCGGTTCTCCAAACTAGTGGCAAAAATCCCTGGTGGCCCGGCCCACGCCCACATGGTCGCCCTGTCACCTGCTCACATCTTCTGGCCACTTGCTCTCAGCCCTTCCAGCCGCTCAACCTGCCCATCCGATCTGAACATTTCTCCCTCCATTCACAGCAGAGCTGCTGCATCCTGTCCCTTTAAGATAGACCCCAGAAGGGAGGAGGTCGGAGTGGGGACCATAAAGGGAGCATCAACTCTGCTGTGAATGGAGGGAAAAACGTTCGGATTGTGTCTGCTGCATTTAACGTTGAATTCTGTGGCAGAGAGAGTCCAAACGTTTTTCCCTCCATTCCCAGCATAGTTGCTGCAGCCTGTCCCTTTAAGTTACATCGACCCCCGGGAGGAAAGGGGCCAGCGGGGACCATAAAGGGAGCAGCAGCTCCACTGTGAATGGACTCATACACATTTTTTCCTACCTGGTTCTGTGGGTGTGGCTTGGTGGTGGTGAAGTCATGTGACCAAGGGCATGGCCATGAGTGACATACGCCTACTCAGTCACAGGACACCACCACAAAGACACGACCACAGAACCGGTAGTAAAAAAATTTGAATTTCACCATTGCTCCAACCACTTGGCCACCTCGGCTCGACTACTTTTATGCCCCTAGGACATGCTGCTTCAGAGGGCTCCCATTATAGCCAGTTTACAATAGTGTTAAGAGCTAGCAACCTGATCTCTTGTTCCAGGTAGTCCTCGAAGTTACAATGGTGCTGAATAAAAGATGACTAATTGCAGTGCAGTGATGTGATAACAATTCAGGTTTTTGGCTACCAGCATTTATTTAAGATGGTTGTTGCGTTCCTGGAGTTACATGATTGACATTTTTGCAACCTTCCCGGCTGGTTTCTGACAAGTAAAATCAGTGGGGGAAGCCAGATTTGCCTAAAGACTGCATATCTTCCATAACGACTCTGGCCAAAAAAAGGTTGTAAAATGGAGTGTGGTCACATGATTCATTTAACAACCGCATCGGTTAAAAATAGAAGTTCCAGTCCCAATTGTGGTTTTAAGTCAAGGACTATCTGTATATTAACTAACACAACTTAAAAGATCTGTAGAGATTAATCTGAGTCATGGTTGTCCCAAAGGTACTTTTTCATGAGCAACTGGACTTTCTTGTTCTTTCTTTGAAGACATTTCACTTCTCATCCAAGAAGCCTCTTCAGTTCTGACAGCAGAGTGAGGAATGGAAGGATTTATATTCCTTGCAGACAGCTGATCATTTGCATCCTTTTAAAGCAGGGCTGTCAAACTGACGGCTTGTGGGCTGGATGCATCATGCACAGGCCATGCCCACCCCAGCTCCATGAAGGGAAAAAAATATTGTGATACATCATGTGATGGCAATGTAATGCCACGCAAATTTGACACTCTGTGTTAGAAGGTCGTTAAAGCACTTGGAGATTTATCTGTGTCCTGGGGGTCACCTGAGTAGTCCTTCGGATTCCTGTAGTCTGCAGTTTTTCTCTCTGAAAATTCATTTCTACTCCAATATTATTCAAAGGGTGTTCATCCCAAATTGGGAACCATCCTTTTTTAGCTATCTAATGTGGGATGAACACCCTTTGAATGGTGTGGGAGTGCTTTAACGACCCTCTAAAAGGATGCAAATGACCCGGTGTTTGCAAGGAATATAAATCCTTCCATTCCCCTCTATCCTGTCAGAGCTGAAGAAGCTTCTTGGATGAGAAGCCAAACGTCTTCAAAAGAAAAAACCAGAAAGTCCAGTTGCCTCCTGAAAACAAAGCATCTTAGGGACACAACATGGATCAAGCTTATTTTATGTGGTATATGAAACTTAAAGCTAATTACTTTGCTTAACTCTGTTTGTTTGTTTGTTTTTTTGCTACCATACAGCTCATGACGTGGAGTTTTAGTTTTCCATCTGCTCTGAGGAAAAGCAAAAGGATTTTCTAAGGATCTTGTTTTTTGTTTATGCTCTGTAGCCAGAGAAAGCATAGTAAGATTTATTTTCTGGATCATGGGGGGGGGGG